TTCCTTTAATATCGTATTGATACTTAATTTTCTGAAAGAAAACTTCATGCAAATAAATACCACTCTCTTATCATATCCATATAATTTTATTTTGTTCTATAACAAACTCTTGAGTATCCCTGAGAGAAAATGAAGTAAGAAAAGGAATCTCTGCGCCCCAGGCACACTCTTTAATGCTATTTTTAAATTACTCATATTTCTTAGTTAGACTGAAAGGCCTATGCCACCTTGTCTGAGATGATTTTGAACCAATCAGGTGCCCCCCCCTCCCCACAAAAAGTTCTTAAATGGTAAGTGTCAGTCCTTTTGGCTGCGTTGGTTCAGATTCTAAGAACTGTCATGTACCATTTCAGAACTGGCTGCTCGGGCCAATCAGTTTCAACTTAATGAAAAGTGCCTTAATAATAGCATCAATGATGCCTTAGTATGTTACAAACCTAAATATAAGAGATTCCTTCTCTTTCTTTATTTTCTTGTGGTATATGACTGTATATGAGACGGTGGAAGGGTTTCTTTTGCACCACCTAAACATCACAGCTTCAAATGTTAATCAGCTTCAAATGCCAATATTCACATTCATTCAAAATAATTCCGAGAGCCTCTAATTTAAAATTGTCAAAGGCAACATGCTCCTAGTTGGTAGTTTAGCCTTTCATCCTGGGTATGTAGAGTTCAACCAAGATAGCAGCTATGAAAACAAGTGATATTTTAATTAAAAACGCGTCTAGCTTGTCAATTAGTGAAAGCAGCTTGTGATGATAAAATATGAGGAGTTCTTACTTCATCATCTCAGTCGCAGCTTTGACTTTTATTTCTTCAAAGCAATTAATCATCCTCAATTTCTTCTGTGGTTGGATTTTCTTCCTTCTTTAWTTTTTTCTCTTGATGTTGTACAATCTTTTCAATGGGAAACAAATAAAAACTTAAGTAAAGCCACGAACTAGTGAACATAGTCCCATAGTCCCATACGGTCTGAGGAGGGTATACAATGTAACTCAAGGTATTATCCATACCAGCTCCATAGAAAGAAGTGGAATTTCCAAAACATTACTTCTTGATTTTTTGCAAAATTTCCGCATAAAATTACCAGTTATGAATATCAAAATACAAATCATATGATAAAAGATGCAAATTTGGAGTGAAAAGGTTTTCACGATCCGCGATCCAGTTTACCGAAGTCCAGTCCAGTCCATTCATGCACAGTTTCTGATKTCCAAAATTAAAAAATCCCCCAAAATTCAGAATTTAGAAGCATAAGTCTAATTTTAGAAATTGGGCATGTTTTTGCTATACATCAAAACTATTCATATCCTTTCAAAAACTAAAAATCCGAAGAAATTTTTTTCTCGATTCCAAGACAGGAACTTTGTTTGGGCTACCTGTGTCGCCTGCTAARAGTATTTTTTATCATATTGCATTACTTACCTTTTCATAAGTGTCTTTTTTGATACTCCAAGCTGAATGCTTGAAGTATTTTAGATTTTGCTGTGTAAAGTCGTCTTTTTTCTGTACCTTGCCTTCGGAAAAAAAACAACAACAAAAGCATAARATTTCATCAACAAACTAAATAGGTTTTTGAATAAATTCCAATACAAAAAAGATTAATATAGAAGCAGTATCAATATAATATAGCGTATGTTTGTTGAACTAATTTATCCCAATTTATATAAATTAAAAATCGTCCTAGTTTTAAGTGGGAAGCAATTTTTTTTATCGGTTATCACAAAATATGGTCCTTTATATTGGCTTATTCCACGATCGAATTCCTATAGGAATTTAGGAGTATTTTTGATTTTTATACCTTTCTTAATAGTAGATAAACCCTGATATGAAGCATCCATTACTCTCTTTCTTTGATTTTCTTTTCTTTTTCTGTGAATTTTTACGCTTCTCTTGTATAGACTCGTTTGTTGACGACACAAAATCAAGTCCCTTTTTCACCAACTTGGACGACATAATATCATGAAATTTTTATCCAGTAATGTCCTTAGATTCTAAGGAAACCTCTAGTGCGTACAATCAAGCAATCAGTCTTCAGGAATATGGTTAAATTGTTAAATATATTGTAAAATGTGTATTTTTCTCGGTCTTACACGTGTTTCGAGTGTGTTTACTATAAGAACAGCTGAGTGACCAATCCTCGTGAAATACTGCGCTTTGATTGGCTAAAAACCTAAATTCACCGTCATGCATTGCAGTTTGTCAAGAAATTCAAAATGGCGGGATGTTTTGCTAAAAGCATTTGATTCTTGCCGCCCAAAATTCTACATTTTAAAACCTATTTTTCGACTTTAAGGACGTGGATATGAATTTCTTAAGGACTCCAGATGATAGTACGGCAGTTGTTAGGATAATGGGAGAGTTTGATCAGTTTTTAACTGATTCTGAAGTGAGTGGAATTGCGGATCCAAAGTTGCGTTTGACATTTGATGATGATACAGAACAGATACGACCTACAAGAAGAGCAACAAAGACAATAACTTACCAGAAACCCTCCAGAAGTCTAGCCCGATCACAAAGCAGTAGTGTAGTGACTGAGAAAGACCGTGAGAAAGATGTGGAGATTATTAAAAGTCATAGTAAGATAGCTCATCTTGAGAGCCAGTTGTATTCAATGGAGTCTTCGAGAAAGAGAGCTCGGGTAGAGCAAGACATGGAGTGTGAGATCCAGCGACAAGAACTGAATAAGAAGTCTGAGAAGATGGAGGATTTGATGAAGAGCGTGCAGTATGCTTTGGATCAAGAGAAGCAGGCTAAGGAACAGCTCAGTGACATAAAAAAAGAGTATGAGTTTTACAAGAACAAAGCTGATAAGAAGATTCAGAATTTGCAGAGGGAAAAACTAAAGCTAAGTTCAGAAATAGAGGAGGTTTGTAAACTTAATATTCTTGTATTATTAGGTGCAATATCTCATTAGAGTGCATACCATGTATCTGGGGAAAAGTTTGATAACAAAATTGTTCAAATTAATTAAAGTTTTGTAGGTCTATACATAGTCTTTATTATATGCCCGTGAATCTTAGAGCCTGGACACTAGCAAATCGAGCAATCTGATTGGATAGATCGCATCGTGGACTGGTCTAGATTCTGCGGTATTAACCGGTCCGATCGCATATTAATCTTACGGCGAAAACATTTTGTCCTTTTCAATGAAAAGTGGTCATGTAATAAAACTCTTATCAACCGAGCTTGGTCGGTCTGTACGGGTTAATCTTGACCTCGGTTGGGAACAGACCTCGCTGTGCTTGGTCTGTACATTCCGACCTCTGTCAAGATTATCCTGTACAGACCTCCCGCTCGGTTTATAAGATCTAAATATGGTCTACTGAGATCTACCAAACCTACTAATTTGTGTAAATTTTTCCAATTTCCGACACAATTTTTCACAGATATGTGTTTACACTCTACCATGTATATTTTTGTGGACAGAACTACCTTGCAGAGTTACATGTCAAACCTCTTGTCGTCCACTATGTGTGTATAACTATGTGTTTCTTGGGGTGGGGGGGGGGGGGGGGGGGGGGGATGTTATTGAACTTTGTCTGTGCCCTAGCATGAACCAACCACAGAGTTAAATCGCATGACATGAATGGATGTGCAGTGTGCAGTTATATGGCACTTGGCACAGGGATTGGCATGCGTCTATCCAGTTCTGGATAGACTCTGGAGGTTGCTAAGCAAGAAAGAGGTGTAAGAGTCACATAAGGCCTAGCTCAGTGCAACTCTAGCTACTTGAGTGCTTAAGCAACCTCCCAAGTGCATCCAGAACTAGATATACATTGTACGCACAACTAAGTATTGACCACAGCTTTAATAACATAGCAAAACCGTGACAAAAATTTGCTGATGAAAAAAATTCAAATTTTGTTCTTTATTTTTAATCTTCATTAAAAAGCGCGTGCTACTCAATCATGTCAGTGTGCACCATCCATAATGAACCAATCAGAGTGCACATTATATTGTGGCTATGTTATAATTAACTCCCCCCTCCCCTAGGTCATAAGCCCTCGCTGTTATAAGTCCATATCCGCTAATGCAATTATATTTCTAGTTACGAGCCCCCCTTCCCCTCCTGGTTATAAGCCCACCTTTGGTGTTTGAGTTATCTTATTTATTACACTTTTAGGGTCGATATCAGTGTGAAATTATGACACATTAAGAGCTTGATATCGTTTTTATTTGCTCGTTTTCCATAAGATATTACTTACTCGCTCGCAGACTTGCATGTTCACGATATCATATGGAAACTCGTGAATAAAAACGATATCAAGCTCTCAACATGAAGTAATCTCTATTTTGTTGATGCACATAAAAGATTGACTGGAAAGATACATGTAACAGAAAGAAAAAAAAGTTTACTCTTTATCCTAGTTAGTCATTTCCTCTTGGTTATAAGATCCCCTGAATATAAGCCATATAAACCCCTTCCAGTAATAAGCCCAAAAAACCCTTACAAATGATTATAAGCCCAGGGCATATAACCAGGATTATGGTAGCCATTATTTTGGATAAGAAGAAGGAATACAAAGTGTGATGCATTGCATAGTATGTGGTCTCAAATAGCTCACTCACAACCAATCAGAAATCAGTCATTTTACAATAGACAGCCAACCAATCAGAAATCAGTCATTTTACAATAGACAGTAAATACTTTTTTCAGGTTAAAGAAGATAATGGCCGAAAACAACTAGACCTGCGCAATGCACTCACAAGGTRAGACAAATTTATGCTGGTGGCAAATGGTTCCTGGTTGAATTTAGTCAAAATAAATTATGTAACGAATACATAAAAACATCCTGTCCAACCTCAAACTGAAACCAGGTGTTAATGTCAGTCAAGAATATTTAGAAAAGGATTTTTAGTATCAATTAATATTATGTATAAACCTGCAAAATTTATTAATACCCTGAAATGACCTCTCCTTCTCTTCCTCGTCCTCCTGTCCTCGTCCTCCTTGTCCTCCTCCTAAGTCTGTACATCCCTTGTGGGGTATAGGCCATCAACAATATCTGAACAAAGTCTGAACACAGCTATCTCACAGATTGACTTGGGTTAGTACATGTACTTCATGTAAGACTACACAAAATGACACTATTCAATTATTGATTATTGATTATAATGTCCTGAAAAACCTAACCCAAACCCTAACCATAACCCAAACTCAAAAAAAACCTAACCTTAAACTTTATAATAGAATAGTGCCATTTCATGTAGTCTTACATGAAGTAGTAAGGTTGAATATTTGCAATTTAGTAGTTTGAGTGCAGAGTCTGGGAATCCAGCCTGAGACTTCAGAGGTGAGAGGAGAGTGCCCTACTGCTTCACCACTCTTGATTCTCCAATGAAAAGTACTTTACAGAAATGAAAAGAGTGCTGGTCCAGAAATTTTGTGTTGCTCAGGGTGTTTCAGGAACTCTTATGAAAAGTTTGTTGTACATTTTCTCTTTCCATGAACACTGCTGCAACCAATGTCACATGAAGAAATGGAAAATGTGTGTGCGTGATGTGTGCAGTTATAAAGCACGCCGGGGTTGGCAGAACACAAAAGAAGTGTTAGGAGAAGGACGACACGTAGCGGAGTGCTTCTTGACACTTCTGGAGTGATCTGCCTTTTCCCAAGTGCTTTATGACTGCACACAGCACAGCAAGCAAGTTTTTTTTTTTGAAAAAAATACAAATTACGAGAATGTTGAAACTGAAAGTATGTGAGCGTGCTGTGTGCTCTCATAAAGCATGTGCTCCCAGCTGATCAGAACACAAGTTTTAGAGCAGTTATTTTATAATGTAATGTTGTTTTAATTGCTTGTATGTCAACTTTGGATATTTTTTCATTTTGCAGACAAGAGGCAGAAAATATTATAATTCAAAACAAACTTGATGAATCAGAAGCCAAGCTGGAAACCTTCAAGAGGTATTTTCCTGGGTTTAACATTTTATTTATTTTTCTTATGGATTGGAAAAAAAATGTTATTGAGCCTTGAAACAACCTCTGGGTCAAGTCAGAAGAGGGGAATTCACAGATTGAATTGCAAATTAGTAGATCAGGGTGTAACCCTTTCACTACTAGAGTCTAAAAGGTTCCAACACAGGCTCTTCCTGGAACATAATTAGGGTGTTTTTTATTTCTCAATATCAAAATGAAAAACACATGCTCAGTAGATATTGGGGCCTTATAACACATCAAAGCAATTCATGAAATCCGATTGGTTAATGGTCCAAAAAACAATATCCCACATGTTTCAACACATAAATGTCTTAGGGGATGGGTAATTGAAAAGCAAAAATGTCTTTCCGCTGGCTGCTTTATACACTCTAGGAAAAATGTAGCATTTCTGGTTGGCGGTTTTTGGCTGCTCTAGTAGTGAAAGGGTTAAGGAGAGAGAAACTAGAGAAAAACCCTCCAATCAAGGGAGAGACTTAACAAATTTTACTCACATTCGATGCCAAGTCCAGGAATCAAACATGAGAGATGATTTCACGAGGACTATGCCACCCTTGATTCCCAAAAAATGTAGCTCCATAAAAATATCTTTCTAGTTCTTGCATGAGATTTTCCCATTTTATAGGATGGCCTTTCCTTTACCTCTTGCAAATAAGAACTCAGACTATTAGGGACACAAAAAAAGGGTAGACTCTGTATTAGCAGTAGTAGACTGTATATATCTTGAGATTCACTATCATGACTGTTTACATTTTTAGACGTTATAGTGAAGCTTCAAAACAAGTAGTTGAAATAGAAGAGTTGAGGAACACAGCAAGAAATGCCACTCTCAGGGTTAAGGTAAGGAATGTGGTGCTATAGACCTCTTTAGCTTAAGCGTAATGTTTTGCCCATTCCAGACCACATTTCATTCCCTAGAGCATTAGTTCTTTGTTTAACGGTTGCACATGAAAAGACACATAAAAATGGATTCAACTCAAACAAATATATGCTTATTACTGGCCAGGTGGGCCAGACAGGGAGTAACTGTGCCCGAGGTCTTGAATATACCAAGACCAAGGGCACAGTTTTTCCCTATCCGGACCGCAACTGCAGGCAGATACTGACAAAAAACCGCCCRCTCAAATGGCCAATCAATATGCACAATTTTTTAGGATACCAGACCAGAAAAAAATAAAGTATGCTATATACTATAATAAGGTGTTTGTTTCTTGATGAGGGCGTCAAAATGTCGAGGATACTAGCCTTGAACTTTATTTTATATACCCAAGGGAATGACACATGGTCTGAAATGGGAAATGCCCCTAGGCTAAATGTGAAGCATCAAATTCAAGTTTTATTCACTGAAGAAATAGAAAATACATTCATCTACTGTTTGTGGTTATAAAGCTTATGGGTTGGCAGAAAGAAAAGAGTTAGGAGAGGCACAATGATAGTGTAGTGTTTCTCTCACAACACTTCTTGAGTGTTCTGCTAATCACGTCACTGTGTGCTTTATGATACTGCACACCGCACAGCAGGCAAGCTTGTTATTTCTTTTATGGATACGCATTAATATTAATCAATCAATCGATCAATATTTTATTCAGTACTTATTAATATTTAGATCTTATTAACCGAGCGGGAGGTCTGTACGGGATAATCTTGACCGAGGTCTGTACCCGACCGAGGTCAAGATTATCCCTTACAGACTGACCAAGCTCGGTTGATAAGAGTTTTATTATATGACCACTTTTCATTTAAAAAGGACAAAATGTTTTCGCCGTAAGATCAATATGCGATCGGACCGGTTAATACCGGAGAATCTAGACCAGTCTGCGATGGGATCTATCCATCCAATCAGATTGCTCGATTTGCTAGTGTCCAGGCTCTAAGATTCACGGTCATATAATAAAAAACAATATTTAAATATTTACATTTGTGAGAAATATGACATACATAAAAGTACAAGCTGCCTATGATAACTTAAAAGTTAGACTAGATAGGTAGCTACTTAGTACATAGATTTAAATTGTAATAGCGATTAGGTAGATGATACATTTTTCTATTTACATGGTATGTGTAGATACAAAAAGGATAATTCATAATTGATATAGCCAGTGTTAAACACCACTGAAACACTAGAACACTTTATTCACTGAGAATATGAGAAATACTTTCATAAATAGGAAATGGAGGTAAAATTAAAGAAATCCTGAACAATATCATTGAAGATTATTAGACACATAATGAAATAGAAAAGAAAACAATAAGTTTAAAATCACTGAAAATCAAAAATCAAAGAATGTTTTTATGAATAGGAATTAGAACAGCAACTGTCCAGGCAAGAAGATGCCGCAAGCATTGCCATGACAATGCAGAGTCAGCTAAGTAGATACCGTGAACTAGAAAAGCAGAACTTAAAGCTTGAAGAAGACAACAGATATTACAGAGAAACAAATGAAAGTAACCTGTTGTTGAAAGAACAGAGAGACAGCATGGCTGCCAAGCTGAAGAGAGCTGAGGAGAGAATTAAAGATCTGTCTATCTTGGAATTTGAAAATGAAGTATGTCACATGTTCTCTTTGTTTACCAGACTTGTTTACCCAGTAAACCATTTACTGAAAGGGTTGGGGACCATAAATATCAAAAGTAAAGACCTTCTATACTGAGGTGGGAACCATGCATACCAAGGTGGAAACCTTCTATACTGAGGTGGGGACCATCCATACCAAGGTGGAGACCTTCTATGCTGAGGTGGGGACCATCTATACGAAGGTGGGGACCTTCTATGCTGAGATGGGGACCATCTATACGAAGGTGGGGACCTTCTATGCTGAGGTGGGGACTATGCATACCAAGGTGGGGACCATCTATACGAAGGTGGGGACCTTCTATGCTGAGGTGGGGACCATCTATACCAAGGTGGGGACCATGCATACCAAGGTGGAAACCTTCTATACTGAGGTGGGGACCTTCCATACCAAGGTGGAGACCTTCTATGCTGAGGTGGGACCATGCATACCAAGGTGGAGTCCTTCTAGAATGAGGTTRGGACCATGATTATCAAAGAAAAGAACCTCTCACACATAATTTGGGGACATTGAGCTGCACTGGGACTAAACCTAATATTTCTAATGTACCTATGTAATACACATGTTATGTAAAGGATCTAAAGAAGAGAATAAAGCATTGGGAGGTAGAAGATGCGTCAGGTAACACCAAGACAGCATCACCTGTTCAGTTGACCCATGAGATAGCAAAACTACAAAAAAGTCAAGTGGTGTTGTTAGAGCAGCAGAGTGATCTGAAATCAAGGTAAAAGTTGTTTTGTTTCTTTATTTAAAATATTTACTTACTCTTTGTTAAGTTCCAAAATTATGGTGATGAACATTCATTGCCATCCCTCCATTCAGCCTGGCACCAATCCATCAAACTAATCCCATCCAGTCATCTGTCCACTTACCCTGTATTCATTCGCCCATTCATTCATCCATCCTGGCATTCTTTCATTCATCCATTCATCCCATTCATTCACCCATCAAACCCATCCCATCCATTTCTCTCACTCCTTCATTCACCCATCTACCTATTCATCCATCCTGGCATTCATCCATCTTGCCCATCTCATCCAGTCATTTATCAATAACACATTCATAACACATTCATAACACATTCATAACACATTCATTCATTCGCTCATACAATCTATCCCATTCATTCATTTGTTTTCCTATACATCCATGCACCCTTCCATCATTCAATCTATTCAATTTTATTCATCTGAGCCAAACCAAACAGCCATCTATCCATCCCATCTATCCACCCACCCACACATCCACACCAGTATTCATCATTCCTTCCACTCATCCACCCAGCTACCCTTCTATCCATCCACCCATCCACACATCCACACATCCACACCCCTATTTATCCATCCTTCCACTCATTCACCCAGTTATCTATCCCATCCATCCACCCACACATCCACACCCCTATTCACCCATCCTTCCACTCATCCACCCTGTTATCCTTCTATATATCCATTTATTTTTCTTGTTCTCTATTTGTAGTTCACAGATTCATGAAGCTGCTCGTCAAAAGGCAGAAACTGAGTTGTCTGCTGCACTAAAGGAACTGAATATATTACAGGTTTGTAGACAGGGAAAAACTCTTCAAAGAAAATAGTTGGAATCGGTCACGTGTCACATATATTTGAACCCGCTTGCTCTGTAAAAGGAATGGTTTCGTATTATCTTATTAAGTCTATTTTGGACTGCCACCTGGTTAGTTCATTTGGTAAGAGTGTCGGTCTGTTATGCCTGAGGTCGTGGTTCAAGCCTAGATCGGACCAACACTCAGGGTCTTTTAAATAACTGAGAAGAAGGTGCTACCTTTATAATTACATCTGCAAATGGTTAGACTTCCAAGTGGCTCAGATATCACGTTAATGGTGATCCCTTCTCTAATCAACTACTTATATTAAATAGAGCCTACGAGTTTATCAGTTGATTTAAAGTGCCATCCTCTATAAACAAAGTTGATTTAGTCATTTTTATTTGTCTGTGCTTTTCTTGTCTGTTTGTTCTCTCTTGGTCTCTGTGTATGTGTCTGTCCTGTTGGTCCATCTAATCTGCCTGTTTGACAAATGCATACATGTAAACTTTGGTTGCAGTCAAGATGCTAACCTTGTTAACAATCATCACTTTTTATTAGGCAAGTGAATCTAAGCACAAAGAACTTTACCAAAGATTGCAAAGGCGCTTGGTTCTTATTACTGCTGTGAGTAAGCCATTGATTTAACTTGATTTAAACCATTCCTAACTCCAGTCAAATCAGTTTTTCATTCATTTCTTTAGAATAATGCCAATGATTCAATCCAACGCCCAATCCATTCTAGTGCCTTCCAATCCATTCCAATCCCTTCCAATCCATTCCAGTGCCTTCCAATCCATTCCAGTGCCTTCCAATCCATTCCAGTGCCTTCCAATCCATTCCA